ACTGTTTTCTAATGCCGCCTCCCCCATATTTATATTGGCAATTTAAGCAAACATAGTTGGTAGGGGGGGGGCGGCTAGTAGTAGTAGTAGTAGTCGTCGTCGTCGTCGTCGTCGTCATCATCGTCGTAGTCATAGGAGTAAGAGTAGTAGGAGGAGGAGGAGGAGGACGACGACGACGACGACGACGACGACTACTACTACTACTACTATACTACTACTACTGCTGCTGCTGCTACTACTACTACTACTGCTGCTGCTACTACTACTATACTACTACTACTACTACTACTACTGCTACTGCTACTGCTACTGCTACTGCTACTGCTACTGCTACTGCTGCTGCTACTACTACTACTACTACTACTTTCCGCTGGGTTGCCCTCAGGCCTGGCTGCAAGCGCTTGCGACTGCCACCTCCGTGAGGCATCATGGTCAGGTGGGCTTGCTGTGCTCAGTGCCCAAGACAAAGAGCAGTCGATGTGATCTTGATTTCTGTAGTGGAGCAGTTGAACAAGTGTAACAGGAACCTGGACCTGCAACAGCCAGTGCAGCCGCAGCTGCATGTGCTGCACATAGGCGGGTGGTCTTTGGAAGTGGAAGGGCAAGTGTTGGGCTTGATTGGCCGACACCTCTCCAAGTGGTCAAGTCATCTTCAATTAAAAGTTCAACATGCTGTGATAGGCCTTGCATCCGTGGTCAGTTATCAACATAGCACAGCAGGTTGTCAGCCAGAGTGCAGGCACGATTTCTGGAGCATCCCCGACGATCGCATCAGGGTAGATGAGTTGACACCTCTTTGTGAGAGGCTTACTAGATTGGTCCTAAGGAGCTTAAATCAACTTACCATAATGGGTATATATATATATATATGGTAGTTAATGAGGTTTCCACAATGTAGTAACTTAAATTAAGTTCCTTAACAGCAACCCAGCTTCTGCAGACACCATGGCGACTAGCTTTTGATCTGCCCGCGACAGTGGATCCTGGCAGCCAAAATCGTTGACACAGGGCTGACGAGCATTGTAAGGGGTTTTAGGGTTTAGGGCTTAGGTCTTAGGGGTTTTGGGTTTAGGGCACAAGGGTTTAGGGCATAGGGTTATGGTAAATAACGCGTTGAAAGCCAGAGCATCGAGGCACCTTAGCCTACCTCTAAATGGTAGTTTCCATAAATAGGGGAACCTCACTCAATACAGGCTCCCAGATACTATAAGCCTTATCATGGGAACCCCTCAAAAGGTACCCCTAATTCTTGCAAACCCCCAAATACTCATCAAGCTCTTCTCGAATCCGTATTCCAAACTGGGAGGCGATGGAGACCAGCAGTGCAAATGCTGGAGGCCTGCTGTGGCTTCTCCTCGCCTTTGCTTGTGGTATCTAGCAGCTGTCAGGACATGCTGCTGGCATCTTCTCAACTGCACATCGCCTCTTGCCCCACAAGCACCATCAGGGCCGTGGCACAGGCATGTGTTACTATCTTCACACATGGCTAAGGTGGCCTGCAACAGCCTCCTTGGTGCCTTGTTGCGTGGTAGTGCCACGCAAGGGGTGCTGGGCCTCGCAGAAGACCTTCGCTTGAGGAGGAGCACGGCAAAGAGAGCATCTTTAGCCAGCTCATCCGCTGTCTGTCTCAGGCTGCAGCCAACCATGGCCACCTACGATGTGGCTACTCAGCTGCAAAAAGAAGCTGTCCTTGCAATGAGAGCTTCACCTGGGCACTCCTACATCACAGGAGCTTGCAGCTTGCTCAGCCCGTGGCGCTGCATCTGTTCACCACGCGGCGGGCGGTCATGGATAGCATAGACTCTGCTTCTGCTTCCCTCATCTTTCAGCCCTGGAGGCCAAGCTGCTTGACGATGTAGCCCAGGCTGCACCTGGACTCTGCGGCTAGCGACATGGACCGGGATGTGGACCTAGTGGCTCGATTGCAAAGAAGGGCTGCAGATGAGGGAGCACTTGTTGCTAGTCCATGCCTCTCCACTTGGGCCGTGAACTCCCGCAGCCTGCACCCAGCCAAGGTCAAGCGATTGCCCTTGTGCCTGGCTGCGAAGGACGTGGACTGCCTCCAGGATGCTTCTGTGGCTGGCACGCTGTGGGGACATCCAGGTGCTCGGGAGGGGGAACTGCAGCGGAAAAGGTGGGAGATACCTGAGTCTTACACAAATGCATCGAGACGTGTTGAAGGCCTAGCACTCCACTCTGTGGGTCAAAGTCATTGGTCCTGCTATGCTTTGTGGATGTGGAGCAGTTGACACCTGAAGTTGCGCTAGGGGGCATCTGGAGAAGTCCGAATGACCCGCTGCTCGTCCTAGCCTCTACATCAATGGCGATGCCGCTCTGCTGCATTTCAGACGCCTCAGCTGGGGTTGATGCAGGCTAAAAGGCACGTTGCCCATCTGCGAGGAAATTGCCATGGCATGAACTTCATGAGCTCCATGGTTCCGAAACGCCTGCTTTATCCAGCTGACGCATGCGTGTCTTGTGGGCAGCTGTTTGCTTAGTTCGAGACCGGCCTTGCTCCCCTGCACGCTGCCACATCGCTATGATCCACCTGCTCACCGCATGCGCTGCTTTCCTATTCTTCCATGCGCCGATGGCCAGAGCGGCGCCTACAGCGCAGATTGAGCAGGTGGGGGTCTTCCCAAAATTAGGGGTACCTTCAAAGGGATGGAAAGGGGTTGTTTAGGGTTTTATGATCTCGGTTCTCAGTTCGGGGGCCCCCCCCAAGGTATCGCTTCAAAAGTGTGAACAGTCACAGGGATGGGGCCTTTCGAAGTCGCCATCCTCGTATCTCGTCATTTTGACGCCTCAAAGCCGCCATCCTCGTAGCTGTCGTCACTTTAGCCCCTCGTGCTCTCTCCGCGTCCCAAAAGTAAAAAAAAAAAAAGAGATCGGGGTGGCCTCATCGCGGTCCCCGCAACTCTCATTGTGCTTGAAGCCTCATATTGCTCTCGCATTTTGAAGGTAGTGACGGGGATCGGAATAGTCCTCATCTTATACATTGTGACAAGCTTTCTATAAAACCATAAATCTTTGTAAACCTTGTTGCAATTTACTATGGACTAGTTTAAACCCTCTATAAACGGTTACTAGCCCTCGATAAACCCTCCATAAACCTACTGTAAACCATAGCAGGAACTTGAGAGACTGTAAACCACAAGACCCAAACCACAGGCCACAGGACCACAGGGGCCGATGGGGTAATATGCTATAATATAAACCTTCATTGAAACCACACGACACAGACCGCAGGCCACAGGACCAGGGCCGGGGTGGGGTAGTGGGTTTACAACCCTCTACACGCACGATTAGCCCTCTATAAGCCTTCATCGAAATCGAAGCCACAAGAAGATAGCCACTACACAAGGAATACTTGCTCTTAACCCCAAACCCCTAACCACACCACAGGGAGATGGGAAATCTTGGTTTTCCCAGCCGACAAGCACCAGCTGTTATGTAGGATGGGGTGGGAACCATTGGAGGGGAGGGAGGGGGGGGGGGGCGGCCGCGCCCGGATGTGTATATATATATATATATAAAGGAATATTATGCCAAAATTGGGTGTACTTTTTTGGAGGTCCCCACAATAAGGATTATTTCATATTGGGGTCTATATAGTGGTGCAATTCTTTACGGAAACTGCTTTACAATCCTTATGTAACCGTATATATATACACATGATATTAGCTTCCATTCTGTTTTTCGTTTGATTTTCCCGGTCTAGGGAAACTAGACACTACCACATGAATTGAACCCTGAACCCTGAGCTCTTAGTTACTATTTTTTCCAACTTTTTTCCATTCATGACCCCTACCAGGTGTCCATCGCCAAGTTTCGGACTGGCTCGGCAGCCGAGCGCGATGCCCAGGTGGCGGCTTTGCGCAGGGCCTTTGCCCGGCAAGGAATGGTTTCTCTGGTTGACACAGGGGTTGCTCAGGAGACCATCGATGAAACCATCGCGAAGAGCAGAGATTTCTTTGCTCTCCCCCAGGCCAGGAAGGAGCACTTTGGTAGCCCTCCTGGATATCCACCTCGGTCCTTTGGAGCCATCACATCGCCCCGTGGTAAGCATTACCATCTCCAGCAGCAGGACGAAGAAGGCAACATCCTGAATGAGTGGCTCCAGACGCGGAACACCTCGGTGCAGGTGGACTGGTCTGACCCTTACTACTCGTGCCCAGAAGGCCAAGAGCTCTACAGCTCGGAAGCCAAGCATCCAGAGCAGCAGGTATGGCCCGAAGAAGTGTCCGGGCTGCAAGATGCCATTGCTACGTACTATGGAGCCATGGAGGAGCTCTCCAAGGTCATGTACGAGCTTTTTGCTGTTGCCTTGGAGCTTGAGCCAAACTTCTTCCTGAAGCTAGCTCAGCGTGCGCCCATTTGGCCGGTAACTATCGCCCACTACCCTCCGCAAACACGCACGCCGTCTGAAGATCGAGCTCGCATCCAGCCACATTGGGATCGAACCTTGTTCGCCATGATTACCACCAGTGATGTGGGTGATGAAGAATCCGGTGGTGGTCTCCAGATCTTGGTGGATTCAGAAACTGGAGAGGGCGTTGATGGGCGCGCAAAGCTTGAGGGGCGCTCGGTAGAATGGCAAAATGTAGTCCGCCCAGCAGGAGCTTATGTTGTGAATGTCGGGGAGATGATGAGTCGATGGTCAAACGGTCGTATGAGGCATGTCGTGCACCGCGTCGCCAATCCTGTGGTAAATCACACAGATCCTGGAAGAGTTTCTCTCATGGCTTATGTGTTGACGGACTATGATGCGGTAGTCGAGTGCTTGCACTGCACGGCTGACGGGTCTGAGCCCATGTACGAACCGACATGGGTCGGGGAAATGATGAATTGGGGAAGCAAGCTTTCAATTTATAATCACACCAAGCAGGAGATGATGCGTCAAGCGCAAGGCCTCTACCTTGCAAATGGCACTCAAACAGCTCTTGGTGAACCAACTGACGTCAAATCAGTGGAGGCGTCCATGATGCGGTGCCAAAAGGACGATTCAAGCTCCTGCGGCCTAACAGCGTCCAGCTAGTTGCTGCCACTCCGCCACTCCCCAAAAAAGACTAATCGAATAAAAGTAATGCCAGAGCTCCTCTTCCAAGGCTGCAGACTAATCTGCAGTTGGCCTCTAGTTAGGCGATTCTAGGCCGCATGACTCTGGCTACCTAATTAGCTTGCGCTAGCCTAGAATGTGGCAGCGCTTTAGTCTTCCACTCTCTGGTGGAGCAACTTGCTGCCGACGAGTTGTTACCATGCAGAGTAAACACGACAAGCGTGTGCTGCATCACTGTACAGAACCCTTCTGTTGCATGCGCGGTGAGTTTCCGTATGTCCACATCGTGAGAGCCCTACGATCGGCGCTGCGAAGATAAGACGGACTTCGTTCCAAGAGCGCTGCGCTGCTGAAATTCTTGGATAAATCACGAGATGGTACGTGCAATGCGCAATAGTTCGCCCTCTATGAGTAATTTGAGTGACTCCTGCTGGAGAGTCACCATGTCGTGCACTGATTGGTATGATATTGACTGCTGCTCTTGCTACACTGGCTTGAGGTGAGCATCCTACATGTGGCATGGTGAAGATCAAGTCTCCGGGAAGTCAAGGATGGTTCCTTCCTTGGGTGCCCAGGTGTTGAAATCATCAACGAGCCTGGAGTGTCCTTGTCCTGCTGATCTCGAGGTTGCGGAGCATCATCATGGAGAAGACGGTCTTGCAAGGACCTGCAGCTTCCCTGGTCTCGTAGAAGGTGTCAAGTGCGTCCGCTTGCTCGAGTCAGAAGGTTCACCTTCAGAGACATGTTGAGGGACAAAGGGGTATAAGAGGGTCACGGGGAACCTGTCCCTCCGAAAGAAATGTTTGAAGAGCTTCTTAACCAGGCGACGCCATATCAGAATCGTTCACTGGTAGCTCTAGATGAAGAGCTTGAAAGTCATGAAACGCCACATCTGCCAAGCTTCTAGCTAAGCAGACAGGACACAAGTCTCCGAGCACACTTCTGCAAAGTTGCGGAGCCCGGAAAGAATGGATGACAAAATCAAGTAAGACAAGCCTCAGACATGCTGCTTTTGCTGCTCAGGGTCTCTTGCACGGGTTGTGGTTGAACAACTGCCAGGCCGTGGCTTGCAAACCATTGCTTGCCAAGAGTTGTGCTCATCATAGCCAACCAAGTACAACTGCATGCTCGAAGGCGTAACAAGAGTGAAAGGACTGGCAGATGATCGGTAGGACTTGCCTGTAATAATCCTGTAATCAGTCTTGAGTTATCTTCTACAATGCTACAAATCCGCAGCACGTGTTACTGCCTTCCCGCAGCGGAGCAGGATAGGTCTCAGTACTGCAACGCATTGCATAAACTACCCAAGTAGTGACCTGTAAGGAAATGACACATGGTGTTCACATGCACCACGTTGATCCCAGCTTGTGTATCCACATCGTTGTTGTCGCTGCTGTTGCTCAAAAATGAGCCCACGTGCCCAGTTGCAGGGCAGTATCTCTTTTGGACAGAGCAGACAGCAGGGAGATTTCATTGTGGCAGGCTGATGAACCTTGAGTGAGAACCTTGGCAACTTTGACTTGCATACTCACATTCTGGTAACGTCCATGGCCAAGCGAGCCCGCGTGGACAAAGATGCTGCGCTGAGTGGATTGTCGCGACTTAGCGAGGGAGAGAAGACCGCCATCCTCGAACGACTTGTCCAAGACACAAGGCTGAGCGCGAGAAAGATTGTTTGCGAGGAGTTGGAGAAGCGAGACTCACAGCCTCTAGATCCTAATCTCTTGCGGAGCTTCGGGAGCCGTGCCCATCGTGCATTTCACCAGCTAGATAGGCTTAAGCCATCCAAGCAGTATGAAGAGAGCCACCGAGTGACTTCTGACATTGATGATTTAATTGAGGAAGCTGGACGATTGAAAGCTTCGCATGCCATTATGGCACTTGCAAGGGTCGCTGGAGTAATGAGCCACGCAAGTGACACGGGCCAGGTCTTTCATGATACCGTGGCTTCATGTGGTGGCATACCGTATTTTCTGGCAGAGGCGATGAAAAAGCAAGTGCCACTTGTGGCGGCAGCAGATTGGGCAAGCCTGAAGGACGCATAGGAGCAGATGTTGCGAGTGCAAAGTCGCTTGAGTGATTTCGGCATTGAAGAGTTCCACCCCATTGTGAACGAAATGACAAAGCATTTCAAGAATTCGTGAGCGATAGAAAAATATGCGAAGATTCCTCTTCATGATTGAATGGTGTTTGGTTATATGATTTTCAAGTCTTGGATCAATGGCTTTCTTGATGAGGTTGAGCTGCCTCGAATTGAACACTTCAATAAAACAGCGCGGCCACTTGTGGCCATGTCGCTCGCGCGGCGCCTAGCTTTTCCTGCTCTCCATTAGAATGCGTCCTGCGGGCTCCCAAGGGCATTTAAAATTTTCGGAGATTTTGTGCTTTTCGGAATCTGAGAGTTTTGCTCCGGCGAGGGTGGCAAATAAAATCTGGAAGATTTTTGGTCGCGTCTGCCCCCCTCTCTCCCTTCCCTTCTCTCCGCTGGATTCATATCTCTCCGGCGGCTTGTGTTGCGACTCGGTTCTTGACGAAAGATGCGGTCTCCACTATCGCAATTCGAACGATCTAATTTCTTGAAGACAATGAATATCTTCTCCGGATTGATTATCCTGGTGAATATACTTCAATATTGCGGCGCGGCCACTTGCGGCCATTTCGACCGCGCACGGCCTAGCCTTTCCGGCTGACCTCTAAAACGCCTCTTGCGGGCTCTCTAGGCTCTAAATCTCGGAGGTTTTAGAGCCTTTCATAAAAGCTGAATTTTGGCGCGGGCAGCGCGAGTAAAAATCACGGAGATCTCCGGTCGCGCAGCCTTTCGCCCCAGAGTTGTCTGCGCGGCTGCTCGGCGGAGAATATAGATTTCGCTTAATTTCTCTCTCTTCGGCTACTTGCGCGGCGGCCCGTCGTAGATCTTGGCCGGAGATCTCAATCCTTATAGAATATATTATGATGGTCGTTATTGGATAGGTGCGGTTCTTCTATATTGATTAGTCGTTAAGATTCATATACGATCTTATATTCTGCATGATTTATCTCTTTTTGGGTCTCGGCGCGGCTATGCTTCAAATTTTATAAAATTTGATTGGTCGGCTACATATATTCACGGAGAATTTTTTTTTGCGTTTGCAGATTATTACGTAGCTAATTTAAAAGAGGTAATAGAATGGTAAGATTAGGTTGCATGCCGAAGGACCGAACATCTAAAAAGATCTCTCAAGATTTTGAATTATTTCTCTCTTCTTGATTGGTTGCGCAGGCGTTCGATTAGAGATCTAAAATTCTTGATTGATCGCGCAGGAATTCGATCGGAGATCTAAAATTCTGAAATAGATTTTCATTTTTCTTCGCCAATCGTTTGAAGGACCGCTTATACGTATTATTTTTGATCTTTCGGCACTTTCTTTCTCGTCTAATTCGTGGAGGGCGGGCGCCGATTCTCTTTGCGGCGCTCGATCTTTCAAACGATTCTAGAGATATCTAATTAGATTCTTCGGATCTCTTGAATTACGAGATTTCTTTCTTCCCACTCGACACTATAATATAGATCATATATCTCAGAATATATATGAGATATACGATTTTAAAATCTATTTTGATAAAATATAGATTTATTTATTATTTATTCATTGGGCTTCTATTATATATTCTATCAAATGAATATTTTCTATTATTTATAAGCAACGGATTAATTTAAGATTAATGAATTTATCATATTAGGATATGATAAGATGATCGATTAAATTATTCATTTATGCGTAGAAATTATAATAATTAGATTATCTAATAGAAAATTTTCGTTCGATGAATATCGAAATATACGATAAGAGATTGCGTTTAGGAATGGGGGCAATATAGATAAATTCGAAATGCTTGAAATCGAGGGATTATGATCGGACTTTCGAAATTTATCTTGAAAGGAGGGAAGGGGATACGCGCCCTTCCCTCCCCCGTTCTATTGAAAATCTAAAATCGAGCGGTTTCTCTTATCTCGACCTCCGAAGGATGGAATTCGGGTCCAGATGATTTTGGAGATTAATTTTCAAAAAATTATAGATTCATGATTTAGATTTATAGATTTAGGATCTTTCAAATATCTTTCTATATCGTGGGGATTTATTGCCGGGACCTTCATAAGTTTTGATTCGACCTTGGAATGGAGATTGGGAGGTCCCCTGCAGAAAGCGAGGTCCAATGATCGGCGGTATTGATCTATGGCTCAAGCCAGGGTCATGACCTGCGGCAACATTCCCAGGGTAGTCCCTGCATTTTTATAAAGAAATATAGGAGATTGATCGAATGTAAATTTGGATTTTTTTAGATTATATAATTATTTAATAATTATTAGATTTGAAATCTATTTCTTACGAAATTTAGATTCGTATTTGCGGATATTTTCGGAAAGCTTGCAATTTTGGGGCGGTCGACGTCCCAAATTCTTTTCTTCTTAATATTCTTATGATATCTCGAAGATATTCCGATATCTTCAGGAATCTATTCTTTTTTATGATCCTAGCCGCATCTTATTGGTGACTCGTCCAGTATGCCCGTGATTGGGGGTCCGGATCTATTTTCTTCTTGGCGGCGTCTTGAAGGAATTGCGGCGGCGTCCGGCAACACGAGGATATTTGGATATTTGACGGCAGCGTCCTAATAAATCTTCCTCTTTTTTTACCTCTCGGAGATATCTCAATATCCCGATCTTTCATGATCTGGGTCGACGATTTGATTGGATATCGTGTCGGAAGGCATATTTATGGGGCAGTGGTTGGCGAGTTGGCAACGTATTCATGGGGCGGAGAGGATTGGGAGGTGCAATGCGGGGCGATATGATGGAATGCTTGTAATTTGGCGGAATGGTGCGATGATATTGGTCGGTGCGATGATATTGGTCGGCGATTCGACATCTTGATCATTATATTCTTAGATATTATATACGATTTGACGTCTAATATCAGAAAATATCCAAGGAATTATTT